AGGACATTTCAGGAAGGCGTGAGGTCACAGAAGAATGGCGTTGCATGTAGCTTGGTACAGCTAAGGCTACACACGTGAACATTCAGGCAGGAACTCCAGGATGTGAAAGCAAAGCAGCGAGTCAACCCAGTGCTGCTGAGGAAACTGGCGGTCAATTTGGATGACTGAACAGTGCCAACCTCCATTGCCAGTCCTGCTTTGCTTAGGATCACTGTGGTGGAAAGGTGCCTTTTATCAAATAGGGGTGGACTGTGCAGCAGGGAGGAATAGAGATCTTTCACAGGATCAATCAGGCACCATATTTCCTGCAATCATTCGCTCAGGAAAGAGGCCCAGTACCCTGGTGTTGGGATAGGGTGATGTGGAACCCCTTCCTGCGTGAACATTCAGGTCACATGCTTTTCCTTACATTTTTAATAATAATAATTGATACTTAATTGATTCCCATGGGGAAATTCTCTTAACATCTCCCCCAACTTGTTCTTTTTGTATCAAGCTGTCCATGAAGGGCAGCCACTTGGACCCAGGGAGCTTTGGGGGTTAAGGGCCTTGCTCAAGAACCCACAGACGTGCCGAGGCTGGTCTCGAACCAGTGACCTTCCGATCATAGGTTTTTACTACTGTCACTATTTTAATATATTAGTAGAGATGGATGTGCTGGGCTACAGTGTAGACTAGCATTGTATAATTTGACCTATGTACAGTAAGTGGGTCATATAAGCTTAATTTTCTGTAGTTCCCGTTTTAATGGGCAACAATTAGAAATCACAGTAAGATACAAGAAACCTGGAATATTCAGTCGAATATCGATGATGAGCTGAGGCTCTGCTGTCCTCCAGGTGGATACTGGGTCACAGCTCCGGTGGGAGCTGGGGGGGGCATTGCGTCATTTCTGCCAGCGATCACGTGAAGGTGACCAGCGGAGCCAGGGAGGGCAGCTCGACCGGACCTGTGTCATCAGCCAGCAAACAGGAGCCATTTCTGTTTGTGCCGCAGAGTCTTGGCTGACCCAGCCCTGGGGTTTAGTTTGAAATGCTAAAAGGCACCCCCCCCCCCCTTATGTGCCCCGCAGTCTTCCGTGGGTGTGGAACTTTCTACCACTATCTATTTTATTTCATTTTCAAACTACATTTCTTCTTACTACATGTTGAGTTTGGC